TGTACTTAGCCGAGCTCACTGAGTGCAAGTAGTGTGGCAGCTACGTCGCTCCATCTACTTTGGACTGAACCAGCGCCTGAGGAAATGGTCCTCTCAACACACATTCAAAGGAACGGCAGTGCCGTGTGCTGCAACGAGCAGAACCAGTCTTCATTTGTAGACTCTGGACTAAATCCGTTCACCACATACAGCTATCGCCTGCGTCACCGCAATGCTCAGGGGTATGGTGCCTGGACTAATTTCTTTACCGTTCAGACGGCGCCTGCGCCGCCCTTGGACGTTCGCCCTCCAGAACTGGTGGCGGTAGGTTTTTTTCTCTTCATTTCTCCATCGTATCGCCGATCTGAACTTGTGCCCAGGCCAAAGCTACACTCCTTCATGACTCATTTACTGGCATGGATAGACGGGTCCCTATACGCTCGAGTTCCGCGTGCCGTTGGTATCAGAAACGAGGGGCCCCATTCTCCTGCGCCGCGTGGATCTGTATGACGATGACCTGGATCAGGTTATTGCAAGCGTGACTTTGGATGCCACTCGCAATGCCTACTTTGAACAACTCGAAGCGGGTAAGCGTTGTGCTTGCTTGCGTGCTCGACCCACCAGCAGAAGCCTGCTCTCGCTCACGGCAATGCCCAACTTGCCAAATCAATGTTTGAAATTTTTGAACTTTTTGTTCAAGCGCACGGCTACTATACACGATTCGTTGTGGCGGTGGATGCACTGGGCGTGCAAGCAACAACTAGTGGCAACTCTATTGTCGCCTACACCGAGTACGACCGGACAAGCCGGCCCTTGGAGTCCAGCATCGTGTCATACAAACTCGATCGTGCCTTCAGCGAGACCCTCTATGACGAAGCCAGCGGAGCCTTTTCAGCTTTGGCGCACGAAGTGAACCAGTCCATCACGGCGCTATTCTCATCCACGATTGGAGACCAACACGTGCGTCAAGTACGTTTCAAGCCAGGCAGCATTGTAGTGGGCGTTCTTCTAGAAACAATGGCTGGGCCACCGCTAGAGACAGTTTTGACTCAGCTTCGGGCAGCAATCAGTGATGGGTCCCTCCAGAACGACATCAATACAGGCAGCTATGCACGGCTGCCAGACGACACGAATCTTGAGACTGCTTTTGGTGCACCAACAACCACGCCCGCGACTGTGCCTACGACTGCATCAACTTCAACTACCACAAATGTTCCTACTTCACGTTCTGACTTGCCCTCAGATTCCTCAACTTCCAAAAGCGCGACCTCGGCATCAGAGCCTGAATCCACCGCTACGGCGACGACAACAACAGTCGCCGCCACCACGACTACTACAACTACTACAACAACTACAACTACTACTACTACTACTACTACTACGACAACTACTACACCGATGCCTTCAACCAGCTCAATACCCAGCCAGAGCGGAACCACCTCAGCAGTTGATACGACGTCACTACCAATGGGCAACGGGCAAACAGCGGGTAGCCAGAGCTCGCAGGCTGGCCTTGGCGGGCCTGCAGCCATTGCTGTGATTTGCAGCTTGGCTGTGGCCATTCTCATCTTGCTTGTGGTCCTGCTGGCTCAACGTCAACGTCTGAAACAAGCTACCTCCAAGGCGGGATTTGGTATGTTGTGTGCTGTCGCCTGACTTGCATGATGGTGCCTGTGTGTCCTCATTGCCTTTTTTTTCCCATGTGACCCGTCCTTTCTTAGCGGCCAACTTCACGTACACACCCTCAGCTTCGCCAGAGAGACCATCGTCCATCGCGATGGCTCACTTTGGGTCCGAGCCTTCCATGGACTTGGTTGAGGAGCAGGCTGATTCGGGATATCTCCGCCTGGGAGGTGCTGATGAGAGCTTGCACGAGGAGGAGGGAAATGCCAATCACGACCAGCCCTACATTCGCTCTGGCTCGCGCTCTTCTGTTCTCTCCAACAATTCTTTGCTAGAGGACATTGCTCTCACGGAACAGAAGCTCAACCAAGTTCATCGTATGCGGGCAAGCGGGCAAATGGTAGGTGCTTGATGATGACCAAAGGCGAAGCGGAAATGCTTGTTTGGCGGGGTCGTTGTTTGTTTGTTTGCTTCTTTCTAACTGAGCGTGCTGTGCCACAACTATGTTAGGATATCGCATCCGTTGACTTTTCGGCATCTAGCACAATGAAGAGTCACTACCACCGCAAGTAATCTAGCTCCCGCCCAATGAAGCGTGGGACCACCCTGCCATCTTAATCACGTCGTCTCTTTTGAGTTTTTGCATCTAATTACGGGCGAGTCCGCTTAATTGTGTCGAATGTCAAACCTCTTCCTTTTTTTAATTGAATCATGCAAACAAAATCGATTGAATTTTGTGGTAGTTTTGTGAAAATGCGGTATATTTATTCACCTTGAAACATCAAAGTTTGCCTCAAAATCAGATCGTTGCTGCCTCGGTCGCCCAGTCATTTCCTTACTCCCGCCGTCATGATAACTCTGTTGTGTGAAAAGATGAATTGCGTCGATTAGGAAAGATAACAATGTGAAAACCAGCGACAGAGGACAGTAAGACGGCGAACAAGGATTATGAAAGAGGAGCCGTCCATCAATCCTACCAAGACACACACTCGGGTGTGTGCCAACGCAGAGCACTGGCCGCGCGAGGCTCAGCGGTAGCTCACATGATTGACCACGAAGCATATACACGCACACACGCACGCACACACGCACACGCAAAGTAGAGGCTAATGTAGGATAAAAATTTTGAGAAAAGAGGCTGAGCACATTGAGGCCGCGCGCTCGCCGGTTGAACGCAAGTGGAGAATGCTTGACGCGACTCAGCTAGAGCTTTCCGGGTCCGAGTCGTGGTGCTCCGGAACCTCAAGCAGGCGATGAATAGCGTCTTCCTCGTCCTCCTCGTCATCCGAGTCGGCGACAGAAAGGAACCATTCGGCAATGCCGTCGAGGGCCGAAGTCAAGGCGGCTGACTCGGCGTCTGAGAGGTGCTTGGAGATGTTGCAGCCAAGCTTGTGCCAGCGCAAGACAATCGAGTCCTCGATGGCACCACGGCGGTAGAGGTCGGGAAGGAGACGCACGTAGACGGGAATGAGAGTTTCAATAGCATCCTGGATGCGACTGTCGTCGGCACTGCTGACAGAGTCATCACCAAAGAGAGGTGGAATGAGTCCCGACTCGTTGGAGGACGAGGAGGGATGGGCGGCTCCGCAGGCAAGGAGGGCAAGTTTGTTCATGGCCTCGCTCGAGTTGCGTTTGGCGGGCGCCGTGCGGTTATGGAACATCTTTTCAAGGCAATGGAAAAAGTTTTGTTGTGCACGAAGGTAGTTGCGGGCGGAGCGTCGTTGCTCCTTTTCGTGGGTGATGAGGTCTGTCAAAAAGTCGGTCATGTCGAGTAGTACGCTGGGTTCGATGACTGCAGCCCGAAACAGCGCGCGCACGCATTTGTTGCCACTATAGCCAAACCGCTCCTGGAGCGTCTGGATAGTCAGAGCGACCTGCTGCCCGTCGGCGTTGTGATCTATAACATGGCATATCGGCGCCATTATTGTGAGTGAGAGGGTGCGACGACCGGGAGAGGAAGAGGGAGGTGCTGGCTTGGCACGGATTTTTAAGGCACGCACCGCGAATTGTTTCGCGAATCTCGAGCGACAGTCGTCGAGGGACAAAGTCGGTCTCGTCCATTCTTGTCGGTGTCGGCGGCGCCTGGGCCACTCAAAGCGCTCAGAAAAGGGCGCTCGTGAGCGCTGGGTTGAGCTGAGCTGAGTGCCTGGGGGTGGGCTGGTTGATGGTCAGAGAGGTAAGTAGGTACCGAAGGTCGGATCAGCAAAGATGCACCACGAAGCTGGAAGATGAAGAATAGCAGCAGCAGCAGCAGCAGCAGCAGCACTTATTGCGCGACGGGAAGGCGGCCAGAAGCACTCGCTGTCCTATTCAACAAAGGCGGAGCTAATCCAGCCAGTCTCGCTGACGACGAGCGAAAAGCAGAGAGCTTCGCCAAAGACCAATAGCAAGCCGTGCCACCGCGATGAAGAAACAGGCAAGCAGCAAAGGCGACGCAGCAAGGGCGACGCAGCAAAGGCGGCGGGGGTGACGAGGCAGCCAAATGTGCAATGACGAGACGACAACGCCGCGCACAGAGAGAGAGCGAGAGAGAGAGAGAGAGAGAGAGAGAGAGCTCTGCAGGAGAGAGAGAGAGAAAGAGAGAGAGGGGGCGGTGTTGGTTGTGGTGGTGAGGCGAAAAGAGAAACACACTTCCAGCTCCACCAGCACAAGCTAAGATAAAAGCCAGATCAGAGATAATGCACAGCTCTCAATCGATGCGGTCGGAACGAGAGAGACACCGCCAAACCCCACACGCATGAGAAAGAGAGAGAGAGAGAGAGAGACACACACACACACACACACACCCTTGAGCTAAATGGTTTAAAAGTGTGACCAAGTGTAACTGGGGGAGTTGGGTGAGGAGGAGTCGGAGGAAAAAATGAGGGTTGGGTTGGGTTTGAAATGGCAGTCGGGTCTGGCAGGCTCGTGGTGGTAACGGGGTGACTGCTGGTGAGGCCGTGGGATTCAGGGGAGGGCTACAGGTTGATGATGACTGGTACAGCTCTATGTCTATGTCTTGCCAGTGCCACCCCTGAATATCGCTTGGTCGCTGACGATTGGGTGTATGACCGCTTTCCCTTTTTTTTTTTTTTTTCCGTGTGAGATTACACACTTGGCTTAGCACGAGGATCAGATGGGTGGCGGGTCCTCCCCAGCCTCGATCCAAGGCATACTTGCCCGTGAAATCCGCCTTGCTCCTTCATGGCGGTCACGATGAGCTTGGGCATAGACGGGCCCTGGAGGAGACCGGACTGAAGGGGGTGATGAGATGACATGATCACATCAGTCTGATGTGTTGCACACGCAACAGTCCCTTCCAACAGCATCACCGGCCTGCAGCCGCACGCTTCGACATGACTTGTAATGATGATAATATTTTAGCACACGGTCGTCCAAGGCACCGAGCTGATCGCTGTCAGGGTGCATTGAACGACCAACTCAGAAGCTTAAAAGGCGTCAACAACGTTGCTTTTCATACCGAGTGTATGTATGGATGATTTCGATATGTCACGTAGGGGGAAACTCAAGAAGATGGGGATGACGACGACCAGCGAAGACAAGTTTTGGCGTTTGGGGATCAACACCAAGACGTCGTCAGCCCTCTGAGCCGCAAGTTGGAAGTCGACTGATCCGTCGCGACGCCAGCAAGAAAGCCCGACGCCGCGATACAATCGCGCTCTGGTTTTGCTGCTCTACCACTTGTTGTTGCAAGTCCTGCCCTGACAAGCCTCTCACCGAGTTCCCTCCCACACCACCCAATTCCCAGGTCACAGGTAGATTCCTGCAGCATTGAGACTGGACGCTTACAGCCCTTTGTGTGGTGTCAAGCTCTTGGTGCTCAAACACTGCGAATGAGGACGTTGAAGCGATGATGATCACGACGACTCTCTTTCGTTTGATTTGTTGTTTTTCGAAAATATGACGCCTGGTCTCAGCTGCTCGGAAAGGGGCATGTTACTTGATCCGTGGGCGTTGCATTTGAGCTCGTTTTGGGTCCGTTTAGTACGCTCAAGGCGCTCCCGTGGTGGCTGCTTAGGCGGGCACACCGACGCCGCAGCACTTTTTGTACTTGCGGCCTGAGCCACAAGAGCAGGGCTCATTGCGACCCACCTGCGCACAACCAAAAGGTGAGGGCGTTAAAACGATTGGAATAGACTGAATCTGAGAAAGCACGTATGCATGCACAAGCGCACGCGCGCACACACACATGCGAGTGCGCAAGCGAGTGCGCTCAGGCGAGCATCTCCAATAGCACCAAGCACCAACGCCACGTACCCGGACCTCCTCCGTTCGCTTGTTGGGGAGATTGATGCCCATCTTCTCGGCCATGGCCTTCAAATTGCGCTCCTGGCGTGCCTCAAAGGCATCCTTCTCACGCTTGGTCGTGGGAAAGCCGTTGGGCAGACGAATGACTTTTTCATTGACCAGCTTGTTGTTGACAAAATGAAGCTATGCGTCCCGCCCAATCAAAAGACAAGAGCAGCCATTGGTCAAAGCGGTTGGGCCATGCGTGCAGGTGTGCACACGCCAACGAGGCCAGTTCACACACACACACACACACCTTGAACTGAGAGCGCTCAATGTGCAGGTCTGCGTAATCCTCCTGCATGTCTCCAAAGCCCGTCAAGATGGTGTCGTCACTGTCGCCAAAGGCCATGCTCAAGCGATGGCAGCCGGCCCAGATGATGCATCTGACGCACACAACCGAGTGGGGGCATGAGATGAGACCGACGCGCGTCAACTGAATCACGCAGCGCACGTTCACACGTGCTAGCGAGAACGGAAACACAGAGGGGCTCTGCCGGTGTATGTGATGCTCGCAGCGCTATACAAAAAGGACAGCCGCGTACCCAAAATGCTCCTTCTGGTCAAACTTCAAACTCAGGTCCGACGACATATCCAGCTGCATGGTGCCAATCTTCACCTTGAACGACGCATCAATGTTCTCGCACTTGTACATTTCCACCATGTGTGTGACAATCTGTAGAAATGGCGCAAGAACGAGCCATTTAATCACCGAACCAACAGAAGCTAGCGCCTCACTCTCTTTCCTTCGCACTCAACCCGCAGTGCGTCTGTCAATTCCAGACCAAGGCTCCGTATTGCCTGATAAACAGACCCATACAACCATGCGGACTGACCTTGGCGTTACAAGCCAGCTTGATGTTGGAGCATGATTGGACAAAGATCTTGGTGGACAGCGAGTTGATCTCAAAAGTGCAGTTTTTGCAGTTTGCCACAATAAGCGTGGCACGGGGATCGACATCTCCTGGGTTGATCACGCTAAGCATCAAGAGCGCATTCCGCCATCACATGAGAATGCGCCTTGCTTGGTGGTAACCTCTGTCTGGGACAGTGAGGCGTTTTTCTCGAGGGGAAAAAAAAAAAAAAGGGTGACCGATTTATCGGGCTCAAAAAAATTCAAACGCACATCTCCTTGTCGACGAGACCCGAATAGACCTTTGAATCCTTGGATTTGGCCGCACCCAACATGGCCTGCATCTTCTTGACATCCTCCTTGGACATCTCCTCACCCTCGGTGTCCGTTTTAGCGCTCGATGTACCCACCTACACCAAAATTGGCCCATCGACGCGTGTACAGAACCGGGTGAGTTGCAAGACCAAGGCGCGAGTCGAGTGATGTTTAGAGTGATGTTCAGGTTACCTTGACAGCAGCCGTGGCTGCGGTGGTTGACACATCTTCCGTGGTGGTGGCGTTGATGCCCTCCTTGCCCAGAACGCGGGATTGTTTGTCTAAGATTGGATCAGGCCAAGCGTGCAAGCCGTCAGCTATGCTTAAGCCAAAAAAGGGGGTGCCGAGTGGCGTATGCTTGGAAGCTGGAGACCCAAAAGCAGAAACCAACCCCAGACGGTACCGCGCACTTGCTCTGCCTGCAGCTCGGCAAGACGCTGCTCAATGGCATCAACAAAGCCCTCCTGCCAACGTCAAACAATGGGCCGAGCATGAGTGCTAGAAGGCTGGCATGTTTTTCTGCTTTGGAGCAGCGCAATGCATCAATATGAACGGCACAAACATACGCCTTGTTCTGCGGTCTTTTCAGCCTCGGCAGCCTAAAAGTATGCCAGACAAGGACCACAAACGACGAGTGATGCCTCTGCAAAACGAAGGCACTCAAAAGAGGGCGCAAGGTCACCGCGCCACCGTACCGTGGCTGTCGCCTTGGGATCCTGATCCGCCATGATGAGCTGGGTCTGTTGCACGCACGACAAAAAAACTTGACCTACAGCCCGGTCCACAATCATGTTTGCAACCAAAGGTGAGCGATGGAGAGAGATACGTCGTCGTACAGAGCCTGCCCTGCGAGCGGCTAGCGATCAGCTGCCACATCACGCTTGGGCCAGTCCCGCCCCCCTTTGGACGCTTGCCTGAAACCCGGCGTAACTTTGCAGGCAGCCCATTCAAATTGCAACCAGTCCCCCCCCACCCCCTCTCCCTCATGCATGCACCGTTGTAGTCGCAGCCCTGCTAGGCGATACCCGCCCCGCCGTCGCCCCGACCCCTGACCCCTCCTCCGTTTCGATCCAGCTCATTCATCTCACACACACACACACTCACTCTCTCTCTCTCTCTCTCTCTCTCTCTCTCTCTTTTACCTGTGTGAACAACAATAGGAAAATCAGCCAAAATGATCAAAAAAATCTTTCTTTCCGTATGCGGTGCTGTGTGTCAGATCCGGACCAAAGTTGGCTCATGGAGTGGGAAGTATGTTGACAACAGCTGTTGTAACATCATCCGCTAACTACCTGATGTCATTGTATCGCGGCAACCTCAACCCTCAAACATTCACAGCGTGTTGCTCTCTCTCTCTCTCTCTCTCTCTCTCTCTCTCTCTCATCTCTCTCATCTCTCATAAATTTCAAGCATCGCCGTCATCGTCGTCGTCGTCGTGTATTCAGTCGGTGTCCTCACGAGCTTGGGACGGGTGCCTGTCTTCTTGGCTTTACGTGCGGGTGTGGAGCTTGCGTGGGATACGAGGATTGATTGGAGGGACGCTTGGGGGTGGGATCGGCTGCCCATACCACGTCCCGTCGGCGTCACGAGGAGGGCGTTCTTGAGGCACACTGCTAGCGCCTTGCGAGGCTGACAGACCGTCACGCGCCCCGCACTACTGGTTGTCCCTGCCTCGCTTTTATCGTGCAGTGGAGGTGCGCGGTTCGCTCTTTCGGTGTTGTCCCCGGCTAGCTGTTCTCTCAGCTCAGCCAGAACCAGCGCCATGACCAGTTTGGAAGCTTTCAAGAACAAAAGCCTGCATGACCCGGGTACCCTGCTACCTTCGCCCTCCAAGGCTTCTGTCGAAGATACCCCCGTCTCTTTACGCATCTTTGCAGGTTTGTGACCCCAGCCGTTGCTCAAGTCAAAACCAACCCAACCACGGACCTTGACCCGAAGAGCATTGGCTCGACACGCATACACCCTCACCCCATCAACACGCTTCTTCTTCTTCTTCTTCTTCTTCTTCTTCTTCTTCTTCTTCTTCTTCTTCTTCTTCTCCTCCTCCTCCTTCTTGTTTTGCACGCCTAGGTGATGCCATGGTCTCGCCAGGATCCACCTACAAGGCCATTTTGGCCACCCCCTCCACGTCAACCACCGAGGTACCGGACCTGCTGCCCAGCAAGCTTCCACAGTGCATATAAATTTCACACTTATGTACAAGCACCGTCGTTCTTAGCGAAGACGGCATCTTGCCCGATCGACTCATCCCACTCACCGCACCTTTCGGCTCCAACAAAGGTTATTCGCCGCGCGCTCGAGCGCTATGAGTGCAGTGAGGATCCGGCACTCTTTGAGCTGCATTTTGTGCGCTTTGATGAGAGGACCGGCAAGATTGCTAAACAGGGATCCTTAACTAAGCTCCTACTTGGCCCCACTTCGGATACTCAAACCTGCATCGTACGTCTCCTTCAGGCTGGCCAAGGGTCTGCTTCACTACAACACAGTCATCAACAAATGCCTTCGACTCTTCTGCTCTTCTGGATCCCCCCATTAGGTGCTTGAGGATGACGTCAAGCCCGTTCTCGTTGCCGAATGGTACTCATCAGAGACCCGCCGGTTCGTTGCTCGTCCCATCCAAGGCCTCTGCCGCAAACCACGCGGTTCCGTGTGGCAACACCCGCGAGGCAAAAAAAGACAAACTTCTCAACTTCGCCCTGAGCTCATGACTTGGCACATATGTTGTTGTGCATGTTGTTAGATTTGAGCTGGCGCGCAAGCCAGCCTCCAGCGCGCCAACGCCTGAACGGGGCATGCGTCGCAAGACATCAATGCTTTCCTTCCGCCGCAAACGCCCGCCGTCCCGTCCCAACGCCTTTATGGCCGTGGCCGAGGCTGGGGTTGACAACACACGCCGTCATTCCCAGGAAATGTCTACCACGCCATCGGCCTCACGACCGAGTCCCGGTGCCATGCTGGCCGCGCCAGCCACCCCACAGAGCTTAACAAAGCGCCCCTCGGCGCGGTTTGAGACGGATCTGTAATTCTGCAACGACCTCGCCCCCTCTTTCCGAACTGTCTTGGTTTCGTGGGGCTCCATCTTTTTGATGATTGTGTCCTTTGATTTTGCCTCCTCCTCCCGAACTTTTGACCTTACCTTGTGCTGTCGCTCGTCGAATGTGTGATGTGATACCTTTCTCCACCTTGCTGGCTCGCACTCTTTTGAGTCCGAAGGGGGCACCCATGTGGGCTTCTGTTTTCATCGTCTGTATGTCCATCGCCCATCCTTCTGCCCATGTATCCAAGGTTATCCAACCTGGGCTTTGCCCCACCCGATGCAGCGCTTATGCGCATGGTACATACATACTAGGCTTTTTGATCCCAAAAATTGATCCTGTGTATCCCGTCCCCCTGCGCTCTCCCAACGACCTGATTGGCTTGCAGCGCTTGCATGCAAAAGCACTCTCGAAATGAGGGAGGGACAGCCGCCGGTAACGGCTCATTTGGAGGAAACAGCATTGAAGGACAGCAGTTTAGAACAGTCTGGCAAAAATGTTTGCCCTGGTGAGCTAAACTCCGGCTTTTGGGGCACTGGAGGAAGGAGATTGAATTCAGAGTGAAAGGGGGTGTTTCTTTTGGGGAGGTGGATGGGAAAAGAAGAGGTAGAAGGCACGGCAGACGAATGGACAGAGATACAATGACAGGTATGCATGCACCTGGTGCCAGAAGGACACAAAGAAGTACATTAACATGTAAGCTCGTCACGCCACCATGGTCCTTTCCAAAGTCCGTACGACGGACCAGTTGCAGGAGAGAGACGCCAGCAATGAAACCTAAACACACCCTGTTGCCTCAAAGGCGACAACCCGTGGGGAAGGTCGCCAAGGCTGGGCAACAGAGAAAAGCACACGCACGGGAAAGAAAACGAGGAACAAAGAGAAGAGAAGAGCATCGCTCCCTTGGACATGGATCACGCAGGCGGGCAATGTCAACGCCTTTGGCTGGACACATTGTCACGGTTGCCGTGTTTGGTGCGCGGGCAGGCGTCTAAAAGCATTATCCCCTTCTTCTGCGTCCAGGAGGTGGCGCGATCCAAGAAAGACAAGAACAGGCACATATGCAAACGATCAACAAAGGAGGAACAATCGATCGTTGGCAAGTCAACGGGCTTTAGCAGCATCCATCACCAGCTGCCGCCTGCGCAGAGGCGCCACCGTCTTCCTCCACCTCAACACGGTGTGGATCTCGTCGTCGACGCCCAGAGTCCGTGGTACCGTGCTGTGCGAGCATGGCTGCAAACGTGGCCACGGCAGTGCACGAAAAATAAGCGGTGAGGTGCAGCCAGGGTTGAGTCGGGCAAAGGAGATGCCCGCGAACAGAGACGAGGGCCAGGCCAGGAACAAGGGCACACACTCTTGGTGAGTTCCTTGAACATTTCTTCAATGCCTTTGTTCTGTTTGGCCGATGTTTGAAAGTGGACGGCACCCACTGACGCGACATAGCTACAACGGCCGAACAGAGGAAAAATGAGACCCGAGTCCGGAGGCGTTGGACGCAGAGCGGCAACACTCCCACACTCCGGCGCGCATCCCGTGGTGCGCGCGCCCGGGTGTACATGACTTGATGTTGTGGAAAACTCGCGCTGCGAAGCTTGGCTTGCTGGATCTTGTTCATCAGACGTGGCAGCCAGTTGTTGTACGAGTCGCAACTGCCTCTTCTTGCGGTGCGATGGCTGCAGCTCGTGGCTGTGCTCTCTCCAATCATCTGCTGGGTTAGCGTTTGGTTGCCCTATGGTTGCTGACACGCCAGAGGGGAGCACGGTGACTGCAGCAAAGGTCACCGCAGTCTTCCCTGGCAGCCGATCCTGGCCTCGCGGATCCATAAAAGTCTGGAAGCCGTTTTTGTGAAATCTATTTCAATGCCGCGCACAAACAGTGAGGCGTTTCCAACATCGCGCGCACAGCAGTGCGATGTGCTCCACGACAAGCTGGAGTCCTAATGTAGGCATCCTACCTTTGATCTCTGACGATGTGGCTGATCCTGCGACGTTGGATCCAACGGCGCTGCATTGCGCATGGCGGCTGCCATTGGCGGAGGTGTGGGCGTCAACGGAGGCTCACCGCGCCACGTGGCAAACGCATTTAGCACCTGCCTGCGCCTGACGCGACGTTTACTGACTGGCTGATTCTGATTCTGGTGTCGCGCACGTCAGTGACGCCTCGTGCCAAACGAAAAACCGTCTCTGGGGGCCGTGGGATCGCAAGGTGTCGGCGGCGAGTGGTTGAGCATGTGCACAGCAGCAGCTGCCTCGGTCTGTGTGGACAACAGAGGCTCGCATGTTGGGCATATGGACAGCAGCAGCTGCCTCAGTCTGCGTGGACAACAGAGGCTCGCGTGTTGGGCATATGGACAGCAGCAGCTGCCTCGGTCTGCGTGGACAACAGAGGCTCGCGTGTCTTAGATGCGGTAGCTCCAGAGCTCGATGTAGCAGCTGGCGTGTTTGATGGCATGGGATGCTGTGGTATGCTGTGGCATGGCTGCCGCAGACGTCTGTGGTGCAAGGGCGCCAACTGTCACAGCTCGTGCTGGAGGTGCGAGCTGTGCAGATGCCTCGTTTGTAAATGTTATACCTGTGTCCAAGTAACAGCGTCAGCAAGGGGCTGGGCGAGATGCAGAAGGTTGAAAGTACCAAAAAAAAAACATACATCCGGATACACAGCCAGCATCGACAAGAGGCTTACCGGCGCAGGTGATAAGCAGCTCATGCGTCTGTGAGCAGACGCTTGTCAAGGAATGAACGGACTTGTTTGCATCAATGTCGTTGGAGACAGGTGTGCACTTGTCCACGACAGCCAAGAGCTTGGCCAATGATCTGTTGGCCTTGGCACCCTGTGCACTCGACATCGACGAAATTACAATTACAAAAAAAACGTTCTCGACCACTGTGAGACCCGCCATCATCTAATTTTAGCGCATAAGCAGCCGTTGGAAATGGCGGGAAAGATTTGTCGACTTGCATTTTTCTTCTTCTTCTTCTTTTTTTTGGGGGTTTTTCTTGGTTTTTTTTTTTTCTTTTTCTTGGAAGGGGTGTGGGGCGTTGCTCTTTGGCATCCCGCATCATGGACGATCCATCGGATGACCTGCAGCGGTTGCATCTTGTGGAAAGAGCCACTGGGCAGTTTGAAAGCGAAGGGCAAGCCACCCAAAGTGAGCCTGAAACGCGCCGAGCCGAGCAAGCAACCGAGGACGAAGAGCGCGCAGAGCCAGCAGCCGAAGTGCGCGCAGAGCCAGCAGCCGAAGTGCGCGCAGAGCCAGCAGCCGAAGCACACGAAGACGAGCTAGCAATCGAAACTGCTCGGCTGAAAGCGCGCGAAGCCGAGCTCGAAACTGCGCGGCTGAACGCCGAAACTGCGCGGCTGTACGCCGCAGCGCGCGAAGCCGAGGCCGAAGAGCGCAAAGCCGAGCGCCTCGAAAAGAAACGGACGTTGTGCAGTGAAAAGGTTTGTCGTGCTCCGTCTCGCTGTGAGACCACCTACCACCTCTGCGCACGCCAGCCTCACTTGATCTGCGTTCACTAGATCGCAATTTTGGAAAACATCTTTTGCGGCCTCACTACGACCCACACCATGGCCCTGCGAAAGAAGATGATGGCATTCAATGATGATCAATTTCATAACTTTGTCGTCTGTCTTATCAACAACGAAACCTCACCCCAGACGATGAAGAAACATTTTCCCTTGAAAGGTGTGTTTGACGTTGTGTGTCACCCATTCCAGGTCTGCTGTCGGTCATTGTTGGGTGCACCTGCATACAGTTGGTGAGCCACCGCACTCACATGACCGTCTTTGATTGCACGTGTGCAGGCTTTACGTGGCAAACAAGAGAATCAGTTGCTAACGCGATGCCCTCAGTAGCGCCCTCATCTACCCCGACTCTGACCGATGCATATGAAAAGCTCGGTTGCATCGTCGCAGAGCTTCCCTGCAGTCACCACTACTACGCAGCGAAAATCGTCAAGCACATCGATGAGCTTTGCGCGGATGACAAGCGGACGATCGACAAGAAGTTGATCGAAGACCTCAAGTGGGCGGTCGATGTTGAGCGACATTCCCGATTGCCTCAGCTCCAGCAGGAGAGCGACATTTCTTCCCGATTGACTATCGTGCTGCAGCACCACTTTGGCCTGGACTTTGTCCATCAATATTCGATTGGCGACAAGAACACCCATGTCGATTGGGCGGGCTTTGACCAGAACCACCACGTTGTTGTCATGGGCGAGTGCAAAAAGGACAAGCAGCCTTTCCATCAATATGGAGGACAGGTTGCCAATGAACTCGAGCGACTGGGAGCCATTGCTACACGGTATGAGAGCGACAGCGAGTCCAATGGACTGGATGGCCGGAAGTCCACAGAGTGGCCCATTGTCAACATCAACGTGGTGGGAGACCATGTGAGCGCATACCTGGTCTTGACGATTTCTGGTGAGCGCTGGGCGGCGGTCGAGGAAGTCTTACCATCATTTCTGCCATCACTTGGGGTTGACAGTGCCAACAAAAAGAAGAAGTATTCCGGAGTGTTTTTTTTGCGCCTCGGGTGTGCAAGCTTGTACAAAAATTCGAGGCAGGTCGAGTGCATCTTGCAAGCGTGCAAGGAGTTTGTGCTTGGTGATCAGGCAAGCTTGCTGGCTGACGCGCAGAAAACAAGATCGCGGCCATTCTTGCCTCGACAACCATTTCCTTGCCCTTTTAAGGACCTCTGCGAGAAAGATTTGCAATTGCACAAATCGTTTGGTCCCAGCGTGCAGGTCTACAGCGACGAGAAGCAACTCAAGGTGTTGTACAAGCACTTTGACTACTGGGGTCGCTTGCCAGGCCTCTGCAGTGCTTTGAGCAATGGCTTACGTGCCGCAGATTGCCGCCACCCGCCCGACGGCCGAATCCTGGAAAAGCTCGCTCAACTGGATGTGACGGGCTCCTTCTATCAGGAGTGGAAGGTGACGAAGCTTGCAACTGCCGTGCATGTGCTCAGCTACCCTTACGTGGAGCTGGCGCCCCCCAGCAAGCTCGAGCAACTGGCCCAGGTCATCCGCCAATTGGAGGCCATACACAGCGTTGGCTTTGTGCACGGCGACATTCTCCCTCGCAACATTCTTTTTTGCAGTGCCTGGGAGGGGCATCCAGCGGCCTTTCTCATTGATTTTGATCTCGGCCGGTTTCTCGACGACAACCCTGTCTATGTCTGCAATTTTGCCGTGGAGGCGGGGGCGCTGAAGCCGTATCGTCACAAGGGTGCAGTGCCAAGTTCGAGGATGTACAAGAAGCACGATGGTTTTGCTTTGGCACGTGTCATGGAGGGCTTTTTAGAGGATGACGACTCTCGTCAGAAGCTGGTGGCTGCGCTGGAGGAGCTTAGCTTGGCTGACGCTGCCGATCTGTGTATGAAGTGCAAGCTTTTGTCTGAGTTTAAGATTTCTGTGCCGGGCAAGGCGACCGGAAGTCCTCGTAAGTGAGCCAACTCAAGGGTGTGTTTGCCGATCTTGACCCAATTTCTGTCCACGTTTTTCTGTTAAAGCCGTGTTATCATGTTTTGACTGCGCGTTGTATTGAAAGCTGACTGCATGAATGAAAGCCATACTTCTTCACTCCCAAGAGGCAGCCTACCAAATTGATTGTGCCAAGCAGTGCGCCTAATGCAAACACTGTAGCTGCTAGCAGCCGCAGACCAATCGATCTCAGATCCCGACACCACGATACCTTTGCAATTCGCTCCTGTTGCGCCGAAGCAGCGGCACCGAGCTTGATCGCTGTCGGAACCTCATGGTGCTTTGCTCACACACACACACACACATACAATCGTCAGTGCGAGCGGACACACTTTACAACGATGCGGGCCGTTCCTACTCAACCCTGTGCCCGTCCTTGGCAAACGCCAGCTGACTTGGTCTTCCTGCTTCTAGTGCGACTACTGCGCTTCACATCCGTTTCGACACACACACACACACACACACACACACACACACACACACACACACACACACACACACACACACACACACAATCCCTACTGTGCTCCCTTTAAAAAAATTAAAAAAAACAGTCTTGACGAAGCCTTGATAATTTCTTATACAACCCCAATCAAACGAACAGGGTGAAATCACCACAAAAAAAGCCAATTTTTCGGGGACGTGGTGACGGAAGAGTGTTGGTGTGGCATTTGCAAATCAGGAAGGAGCTCGGGTCAGGAAGGAGATCGGGACGGGTACATGGTGGCTCCATCCTGGCATGTGGATGCTCTGACTAGGGGGGGTCTTGTGCCAGTGGAAGCTGTCAAAGGTTTCCTCCCACCCACGTCGAATTGGCATTCCTCCAAACGGCAAATCAGCAGCACCATTCGTCGTGCGTGGGCTTGCGCAGAACGGATGTTCATCAGCGCCTTGTTCAAGTGGCGGTGCTTGGGGGTTTAACTCTTCTATCGCACCTGCTTGCCGACCACGGCACGCTTTGTCCGCCAACGTGCAACCAGGCAGCACCGGGCTCTGGGTGCAACGTGGCGTGCAAACCGATCCGGTCGTTGGTCCTGGCCCCATGCACTTGTCACGCGGTGACCAATCTGGAAGGAAGCTAGCCGACTTCTGACGTCTAGCCAGTTGCCCGTGCCCTAGACACCACACCTCTCCCAGCCGTACTGCAAGCCGTGACCGCTGCCCATGACAATGGAGGACGATCCCTCGGTATCCCTGTGGACCATCCTCCTCAACCTGGGCTCGGCATTGGCTGAGGAACAGCTTTGGGCCTTGGCTGAGAGCGCAGCCGAAGCGCTACACACCCGTGGAAATGATCTGGGCCTGCCCTCCAAAGATGATATTGCCACTTTTGTTTTGACGCCATACAGCCTACATGTTCTGGCCTCGGGCGCGATCAACCTGACAGGTCTGCGTTGCCCTGCTGCCTCGCACCCGCCAGCAAAATTCCAGCCACTCAAATATGTCGCACAACCCCCAACCCCCCTGATTGTGCAGATGATGTGGCCCCAGCTGACTTACGCGATAAGTGCTTGGCTGATGAGGTGAAAGAAGACATGGCGCTGGAAGCTGACGCGCTCAAGGTAGAGCTCTGCCAGCCGCCCGCGCGTGATGGGTTCACCTTTTTCCGATTCGTAACAACTCTCGCCTCTGGTCCTGACTTGCTGCGTGAAAACGGCACAGACACATGTGTACGGCCTGGGTGCAACCCTCTTCATGGCTGCCGACTACGGCCTGTCCGATCAAGAGGAGCCGGAACTCTCGTCGGGTAAGCTGCACCCTCGCCGTCAAGCGCAAAGCATGGGCCGCTTTTGATCAATGGCTGTTCATTTTCCTGGACTTGCCTCCACTCTTCACTGGACTTCATCATGGCTCCATTCTTTAGATATGGAAGCCTTAATTTCCGCTATGACAGACGACGAGGTTGTCGATCGCGCCAGTGTGGATGAAGTCCTCCAGGTACACCCCGCTTCCAAGGCGTCGCACGATCAGCCGATTTGAGCTATCTTCTTGCACTCTTCCACGCACAGTCCAGCTCAAGGGTTCGTGATTGCATTGGCATGGCTGTTGCCGCGACTGATGCAGGATATACGGCAAATGAGTACTGCTCATGGACGCACAGCCACGCATATTCTCCAACAACTCTATCAACTCGCCCAGCGTGCAAGCCAGGTAGAATGCAATTGCAATTATCTCGTCCCCGACTTTGTTGGTCTTGGCAGCAATCAGCAGCTCAAGCTTCGTGCTACCCTTTGTTTTATGGGCATGTCAGGTGCCGGGGGATGCCTCAGAAATCCCTGCAGCCATGGACCCCCCTCCATCATCCGACACCACTGGCTCTGGCGACATACATGCATCTCTCATGCAAGAAATCCGAGGCAATGGCTCGACCCGCCTTCGTGATGTAAGCTATTTTTTTCTTTTCCTTTCTTTTCTTTTAAGCTCCGAAGGATTAGGGCCCACTTGTGCTTGCGATGTGCTCTGTACGTACCTGTTGTTCATGTTGACTCTTGTACACGCCTGTCGAATGAATGAAACGCATGAACAGGCTCAGCAGCGCATCCTCGACGGGCCAGACCCCTATGTGACACCACGCGAGCAACTTCTCGAAGACATTCGACGCTCCTCCCGTGCAACGCTTCAGAGCCTTCCATCGTATGAGGCTTTGCCTGTCCCTGCTGACGCGACCTCGGACGAAAGCGCGCCCACCCGGCGTACCGTCAACGGCCGAGCAATCCTCCCGCTTCGACTCTCCACAGAAAGTGCCGAGGACGATCTCTCCGACTTGTTGGGCGACTGGGACCCTGCCGCGCAGGTGCAACTAGCTTTTGCGGCAGAGGCTGCCGTGGACGACGCTGCGCGGTTTTTGGACGATGTGCAGGACGAGGCGAATTCCGGTAACGGCTCTGAAGAAGGGCGGGGGCGAGCGTCAAAGAGCGGCGCTGACTCGACCCCACCGTCATCAATGCAGCAGCGCGCCGTCCTTCAGGTGGACGAGCCCGAGCCTCTCTCCGAACCCCAAAAGCCGTCAGTGCCCTTGCATCGCCCCCTTTCCCGCCCATAAGCGTGATGGCCGGTGCCTTGGCATGCAGAACTTTTCTCGCATGTTTCCTTGTTTCCTCACCTCTCGATCAACTCATTTTGCAACATTACTTGTTCGTGTGCGCAGTACTTTTGTGGGCTTTGGAGATTTTGAGCACATCAATAAAATGCTTTTCAAGGCGGAATTGGACGAGTTACAGGATACGGACCCAAAGGCGGTATGTCTCTTCTGTCTCCCACTCCCGTTCCTTCCCCTCTCTGTGGACTACTCGTACTTTACTTGTGTGATGCCCCTTCTTTCTCTGCATCGTTGCCCGATACAGTACGCAGCGATCAACGCCAACAAACTCTGTGCTGTCTGCCTGAAGCAGCGCTTCACGTTTTTCATTCGCGCCCGCTTCTGTGAAATGTGCCAAAGACCAGTTTGCGGGTACGATGGGTGCATGCTGCCGAGGCGCCAGTCTGAAAAAAAAAGATATCTTTTGAACACCCTTTTGCTGTGATTATGTTGTGGCTCACCTTGGTGGTGATCCCCGCTTGTAGGCAATGCTGCAGCCAAGTACCGCTGCCACAGCACATGTGCATGGGTACGGGCGGTAGTCCGATATCTAGCCCAGCTATGCGACGAAAGCTCCCAGTAAACGGCCGCGTATCAAACGATTCGAATGCGTGTTTACGTGCCCTGCTTTGCCGCGAATGTCGGGGGAGCGTCGGTGGGGCTGTCCTTTCCCCGGGGCACAAGTAATAGCATGTCTAATTAACATAAATTGCACTCACCTTCAGTCGCTTTGATCATTCTGCTTCCGGTGAGGCAAAGGTGGACCTGTTATAATACACATTGTATTTTGATACTATAAAACGTTGAAAAGAAGAAGGGTCATAAAAAAGATAAAAAGAGGCCCATTAAAAGACCACAACTTGCCTAACTCGATCCCAAATGAATGCAGTTAGACTAGTCCCACTTGACTTGTTGCTGGTCTCAAACCCGTAACGCCAGCCGCCGGCAGCTGAGAGGAAAGTCACAACGTCGTCGTGAGTGTTTGGAAATCAAGGAACCCACCAAAAATTAATCAACCACTTTGACATCAATTCGGAGTTTAACATGAAAATGCTCACAAGACAAATTTACGAGACGTCGTTATTGTACAAAGCTCTACCAGAGTGCGTGGAGCGCCTCGGTCAAAATGGCAGCCAACATAGCGCCCTGCCATCCACCCACAGCTAGTCAATCATCTTCGGTAGCGACAGTCGGCTCAATCGCGTTGGTGGGTGGCTTAAACTCTGCCACGGTCGCACTGCTCATGTCTGGGTCCCCGTCTGTTGCTGGCGTTGAAGCACTATCAAGCGCACCCTCGACCGGCGAGTCATGTTCATCAAGGAAATCTTCATCGTGGTCAAAGTAGCCATCGCTTTCAGCATCCTCCTGGTCATACTCGTCTTCATCTTCCTCGCCATACTGGTCTTCGTCCTCATCTTCGTCATACTCCTCGCCATCCTCGTCTTCGTCATCGTCGTGCTTCTTGGTCCTGCCTGCAGCACGGCCAAAGGCGAGCGGTGATGCCGCATCACCAAAGTCAGCGCGCGCCAAAGCTGCCAAGTCTGGGTTTTCTGCCAGATCCAAAGCCATCTATGGAGCACCATACGAATCAGATCAGATTATTCACACAAGAAGGATTCAGCACGCACGGTTGCAGGTCCATTTGCATGTGCGCTGGAAGACCAGCCAGATGATTGGTCGTGGCTGCGCGCTATATGCACGTACCGACTGCGTCAACGCATCGAGAGCGTCGTTGTCAAGGCGAAAGTCAGCTGGCAAGTCATCCAGGGTTATGTCGAAGAGTCCTCTCTGTACGCCATCAGGAGCTCCATCACTCATGGCCTCGGCGGAGTCTGCGCCAGACTCTTCGCCCAGCTCGCTTTGCGTCAGTTGATAAGATTCGGCCCGCTTGCGAGCTGCTTGCATGGCACCAGAGAGCTCTCCGACCTGATCATCCTCGTCGTCCTCATCATCATCATCATCATCATCATCATCATCATCCTCGTCATCATCCACATCATCATCCACATCATCATCGATATCATCATTGACATCCTCATCGTCCTCATTCGCTTCATCGTCGTCATCGTCATCGTCATTGTTGCCATCAAAGTTGTACTCACAATCCTCATCCACCCCTTGGTCATTGCCCGACCTGCGCCAAGCCTCTTCTACTACATCGTCAAATTCCGAGTCAGAAGCATCGTTCTGGGCACTGGTGTTGGGACGCGATGAACCCTCAGCAGTAGCCGAGCCCGTCCCGGACAAGGCCACGCGACGCTCCTCAATCAACGTCTGATAGCGGCGAATGCGCTCCTCACGCAAGCGCTTCATGTCCAAGAAACGCCTCCTGCGTGTTCCATACAATGCATAAATAGCATAACGTGATCCAACAAGGCATGCACAGTCTCAGTTCGAGACATTCAACCAGGAACAACGCCAGGTACGCACCGCAAAAGTTGCGACTCATCTCCCTTGAGGCCATCAATGGCCGTTCGAACTTCAGCAATCTCCTCCTGTGACGTAACATGAAACCAGACGACAGGAGAGAGTCAGGAGTTGTCATCTGACTATCAGGTCAAGACAGGTACGCAGGTTCTGGCAACGCGCAAGTGCCCAAGCTTGGCTGGGCGAAGAGTACACACTGCCCCGTTTTGCATGTCCACGAGGCAAACGAGCGGTTGCTTACCGCAAAAGATCGATCCACTTGCTCGATAAAATGATCAAAAATCATCTCGTCATACAACACGGTTTCCAGATCCGCAAGGAGGCGGACACGAGTCGAATCAGTCAAGAACTCATCTTCATAGAGTTGCAAAACACCACGGGCTGCCAACGAAATCTAGCCATGATGACCACGCAGTACCAACGCCAAGCGCGATATGACCAATGAGTCGTTGATGCGAGCCCACAAGGCTCAGCTCTTGATTCGCCTCCCTTGCCCCCTCTTTTCCTCTTGCTATTGACCCTGCCTACTCGCTCCTCTTCAATAATGCCTTGCGTACCATGCTCTCGCCGCTCAACTCTTCGGCTTCAGCAGTAGCGGCAGCGGGCACGCGCGCATCTGCATCCTCCTCAACATCGGCCAAAGCTTCACCAGCGCGTTGAATTACATGGCAAATGGCATCGATGACCGATGCATCAACCACGGCGTCCTCTGGCGCTACATCGACCGCGTCATGAATGACGTCCATAATCTAGCAAAGCCCACAGTGCATTATCATTTCAACCCCATGGGGCAGCTGATAACAAACAGCGCAGCAATAACAACCACTGAATGGCCACAAACCTCGCGGTGCAAGACCAACTCAGCACGAAACTCGTCGACCAGCATGTGTGATTCATCTTCCTCAGCCAAGTCCTGTCCCTGTCCCCCAAGAGCGTTGCGCATGCAGCATATCAATGAATGAGTGGCACGCCAGTTGTCCCGTCCAGACAGCCAAGAGGAGAACTCACCTCGCGGGGCGCTTGCAACGTGTGGATGACCTGATCCAGAGAATGACCAAAAACCCGGGGCAAGCTGGGGCGTGGCTGTGCTGGAGTCGGGCTTGCCTCCACATCACTACCTCGGTCTGTGTTGTCGTCCTGACTGTTCATGCTACCATCTTCAACAGCGCTGAGAGCTTCATCGTAGAGGCCACGATATGAAGCGGTGCCCTGCGAGGCATTGAGGTCCAAGGTGGCACGGTCACTCAACCACCGACCCCGCTCCAAACTGTTGGCGAGAAGCTGCTGCACAGTTGCAGTGCCCGACGCTGAAGCCGGACCGAGGGTCTACGCAACATAAGTTTCTGTCAGCAGAAGCCCCAAGCACGTCCCCAGCCATGCACCATGCCGCAACCCCAGCACGCACGTCAATCGTTGTATCGTGTAGATAATCGCTGGCAATTGCATCGAGAGCCTCAATGGCGCGTTGGCGCACATAGTCGTTGTCCATCCCCTATCGACCACAATCGTCCCGTGATGATGCCACACACTCTGTTTGACGTGAGCATCTGGCTTTCTGAACGGGGCTACTTCAATGCACCTGCAGGGCATGAAAGACGCGTAGCAAAAAGTTGGGCCGGTCCTCGTTTAGAGTGATCACCGTGGCCACCTATAGGCGCCACATGGATCAGCAAAAGCCATACCACCTGCTCAGATGCTCTCTCTCTCTCTCTGAGAGAGGAGTGAACCCCCTTTTCTATTGTCTTTCTTTCTTTTGGGTTCCGTTGCAAAGACGAAGCAACAGAACCACCACCGCACTGCGAAGGTGGCCTTTTGGCAGGACAGTCATTGATGCATGGTCTTCTTGTGTCACACAATGGTGCTGCAAGAGTGATGAACAACTTTCTTGTTTGTCGCTGATTTTGGCCCGTGTGGTCCCAAGGAAGAGAGTATTGGATGCAGAGGGCAGGAGAAGAACACCTTGAGATCAACGATACCTCATCGTAGACGGCCATTCTGAGATGTTGCGCCGTTTGTTCACGTTGCTCGTTGTATGATTGAGCTTGTGCGTCCTCCTGGCTCGGCTCAGGCCCCACGGCCGCATCCACAAGCAGGCTCGACGATGCCATGTCCCCGTTGCTCCCTGCCTCGACGCGACGATGCATGGCAGCATTGAGACAGAGGCTATCTGAAGATCAAGACAAGGTTTGCAACAGGCTGACAATCACAGCGAGTCGTGTAATTGGCTCCACAAAGCAAGCAAAACCCACAGACACACACAGAGACACACAGACATTTGGAGAGGCGATCAGAGAGCTGAAAGAGACATGAGAACACATCAAAAGCCAATATGCAGAAATCAGCGCAGAGCACAGGTGGACAAGAGCATGGAAACGGCGAGAGCCACAGGCACAAGGAAGCAAAATGTTTGAAGATTCTAACACGCAATCAGATCATGGGCGAGCGCAGCGTCTTTTTGCGGCGTCCAGTCTTCCACAATGTTGAAAGGAAGTATGAGGAGCAGCCTCAAGACGAACCTTGACCTTGGTGAAGGTCAGCGGCGATCAAAGAGTATGCACAGGCCGCCTCAGCAAAAGCCCCATAAGGATTTTGACGGAAGCGTGTGAAAAACATGGCGAAAAAGTCGGCACGGTCGCTTGGGTCCAGCATGCTTGCAAAGCTCATGGCCAGGTTGTAATTGTGAAGCTCCTCGCGGCGACGCTCCTCGCTGGATGTACAAAACAGATGAGACGTGCCCGCGCTGGTCGCCCCAACCAAAACGAAGCAAAGCTCAAAATGCAAATGGTTACAAGGACCTACGGATCATAAACATCCATATGGCGTGGGGCTGGCGAGTCAGACGTGTCATTGAACTCGTCCTCATCTACAATCTGCAGTGCCCCAACAAGATAGTTGTGAGCAAACGGCGTCATTGGCTCAGCATTTTGTAAAGGGAAAAAAAAAAAAAAAAAAGAGAGAGAGAGAGAAAGGGCCAAAGGTAGGGCTTACGCTGGCACTTTTGACAAATCGAATTTGGTTGCGCAAGTTGCTGGTTCGTTGGCGAAGCTGTAACACGCGTGGAGCTCGTGAGCCAGAGACTACACACTTGTTGGGTAAGCGCAGTTATTGAAACGAGAAGGCAGGGCAACTGACCGCGCCCAAGTCAGCAATGAGCGAGTCGCGCCGATGTGGAGCAACGTAAGCATCGCCCTCCGAGGCATCGGCATCATCACCCTCGTTGTCCAGGAGGATGATATCGTCTTCCTCATCGTCCTCGTCTTGGTCATCCTCGTCTTGATCGTCCTCGTCAACATCATAATCATCTTCCTCCAAGTACATGGCCAAGGGCTCGCGAGCAACCCCATTTGGGCGCGACCTTGACTCCAGCGCGGCCACGAGTTGCGTAGCCATGGCACTCTCTAGGTCTGCATTGGAGCAGGGACGTGAGGGCAGAACGAGACGAGTAGAGTAGGATCGAGTGAAAGAGTGAGAAAGGATGTTTGGGAAAAAAGTGATGCAACATACCATCATAAGCTGAAGCCATGACATCATCAAACTGCATTTGCTCTTGTGCCACACGTTCCTCCTCCAACTACCAAGAGGAACCAATAGGAGTTACATGAGAAGACGAATAAAATTTCCGAGACCAAGCACTAAACCATGGAGACCAAAACAGGGGCGCGACGCACCTCTTCCAAGTCTTGGGTGTGGATTGTGGCATTGGTAAGAGGAGCCATGGAAACAGATCCCGAGCGTGGTGAAATGCGCCCAGGAAGAAAATCCGCCTGAGAGCCATCGTGTTCCTCATTGAAGGCTTCTTCTGGACGGATTGGCTGGGCCAGCACAGCCCATTGCGCATCTGCTCGGCCAAATGATGACAACGGCAGGCCAGTGATGAGGGTGGCACATTATGACATTGGATGCAGCAGCCACTGCGGCACCCACCGCTGGCGAAGCGTGACTCGGGCGCCTCTCCTCGCTTCATTGCCTTATAGCCTTGCAATTGTGACATCATGGCCTAACAAACCCCCGTAAGCGACGTCAAATGCGGCCTGATGCGTCGAGTGTGCGGTGTGTGTCCGTTAGCCGAGGCGTGCGTACTCACCTCCATGCGCTGCAGAGTGGCAGCCGCAGCAGCAGTGGAGGGGGAGGTAGCTGACGCGGCGGGTCCATCAGCAGCATAGCGAACGCGGCGGCGCTCAGGCGTGCCTTGGGCCTCGGTAGCGGCCAGTTGCTCCTCGTACTCCTCCAATTGGCTTTTGTAGCGCGTGTCAGCCTCTTGTTTGACGCGACGCAAGCGGTCAGCCTCGGCCTGCAACGCATGAAGTTGTTTGAGTTTGTCCTCAAGTTGATCCTTAAGCGCCTGTACAAATGTTTTTTCAGGTGCAACAGAAATCAAGTGTGAGATTTCCAGGCATGGGTAGCTGTTCAGGCTCGCGTGGAACTTACTCGTTGGCGCGAAAGCTCAGCCATGAGAACTTGGCGGTCCTCTTCGGTAGCATCACCCCGGTCGACAGCTGCTGCACTTGCCGTGGCATCGGCAGTGGATGCCATGTGGGATCTGATCCAATCCAGTGTGAGGAACAACGCGGTGGTGCGGGTGTGGCGATGGCCATGGGCGCGTCATGACGCACCGAAGCTGTTGCAGCTGTTGCCCTTGCTGCTGTGCTTCAGCGAGCATGGCTCGAATCCGGGTTGTGGGATCTATCGGCGCCAGTCAGCAAGCAGGGTGTGCATGTGTATGTGTGCAGATGTGTACGCATGTACGCAAAAGCGAGCTAGGGAGGAAGGGGGCAACGAGCAGTCTAGAGGGGAGATGGTGGGTGGGGACACGCACCATTGGCATTGGCGAAGGCTTCTTCCTCTTCGTCAATTTCTTCGTCATCCACATCTTCGTCACCCTCCTCCTCATCAGCGTCCTGCATGTCTTGCATGGCAGCGGCTTGGCGAGTGAGATGATCTTTTAGCTCAAACAGGCGCTGTGCTTCTTGTTTGAGGCGCTGAAGCTGTTCAAACTTCTCCCGCAGCACGGCCAACTGTTGCGTCATAGAAATAGGCAGTGGGTGAACATGAGAGCAGCGAGGGTTTCGGGCGTGGCCAGCTTTTATCGAAAGAGTGCCGGCAAAACATGAAGCGATGCTCACCTGTTCGGGTGAGGCACCTTGAGCGGCGGCTCCACTGAGCATGTCATCAAAGTTACTGGTCAAATCCTGCGCGGCGACTAGCGCGGCCATGTCGGCTTCATCATCATCGGCATTGGCCTCGTCCTCTGCATACTCGGGGGGTTGTTCCTCTTCCTCGTCATAGTCGATGTCTTGATTTTGTGCCTCCTCAGCTGCTGCCCGCTCAGCCATGAGGGTGAGCATGGCCATTTGATCGCGCAAGGCCTGCAACTGGGCTTGCTTCTGCTGAAGGTCGGCAAACTAAGTGGAACAAGTTGAGCCGGGGTACGGCGGCGATGCACTGGCATTGAGGACGAACGGGTATGCTAGCAACGGTCCCTGGGCAGCGACAACCCACCTTGCCCCGGAGATGCATGACTTGTTGGCGCGTGTTGGGGTCCAGCTGGGCGAACACCTCATCCGGCATGTTCTGGATCATCTGAAGAGTCAGAGCCGTCTCACTTGAGATATAATATAAAAACAAAAGTTGCTGGACCAGGGGACAGAAGCTTCAAAGTCGACAAAATGGTGTGCAGGAGCAAGGCACAAACCTGGATGGTGTCCCAGTCAATGTCAGTGTCAGCGTCTTCATCATCGCCCTGGTCATCATTCTCATCTGCTGCCTCCTGGGTAGCACTCGGACGCTCTCCTTGGGAGGCTGCTATGGCAGATGATGGCGGCGAGGCGTCAGGTCGAGGGTCGAGAAAGCAGCATCTCTCCCTTCGCCAAGCAGGGCTTTGCAATCACAACGTTTCACAGCGGGGATGCCATGCGAAAGAGGAACGGCTGTGCGCGTCATGGGCGGGCAGCTCACTTGTAGATTCATCGAGCACTTCGATGACAGCATCAGCCTCGCCTTGATTGTCATCTGCGGCCGCAGACATGCGGCTGAGTTCGTTGGCCAGAAACTGCATGAGCTCAGGACGGCGATCCACGGCCGACTCTTGCGGTGGACGGTCCTGAAAGCTCAAGCGTCTGCGCAGGGCGAGGTATATGACAGGACACCACAGAGTCAACTGGAACGCGGTGACTGGAGTGACTGGATACTCGCGCGCGAGGCAGGGTGGGGGGCTTTGCACCTCGGAGGCTGGCCGCTAGTGCCACGTCGGCTGCTGGGCAGGGTGTGAGGGGCAGTGGCAGCCATGTTGAACAGATACTGCTAGCCAATTCACGACACGCAGCGGCGAGGTGAGGCTCAGTTCCTGTTGCCAGTGTCAGTGCCTGTTTCCATTCGCTCAACAGCACACACGTTGAGATCTGAGCCACTACCGCATCTGTCTACTGCGTTTGCTGCGCCAAATGCCCCTCCTAGTTCTTCTGACCCCTTGGCTTCTCTTCCTTCCCCCCTCGATCCATCCATCGTCGACTGCCGTTGCGAAGCAGAAGAGAGCCCGCCGACACACACACACACACACACAAGCGGACGAGCGCTCTGAACGGTCACCTACCATCCGTCATCAACAATGACGGGTGGTAGCAGATTGGAGGTCCTGGGAGACTGGGAGATTCGCGGCTTGAGTCTCCAGGCGTCTCCGGCGTTTTGTTTTGTTGAATGAGACTGGGCGGGGCTCGATGGCCAGCGGAGACGGCGGAGACGGCGGAGACGGCAGTGAGAAGGTTTTATGGTGGGCTCATCGCCCGGCGAGGGGGAAGACGATGGCTCTGAGCTTGGCCAACAACATCCCAGCGGTCGTCGTCCCCCTTTTCCCCCCCAACGCAAAGTCCAAGCTGGCCTGCATGTCCTAAGGAGCAACATTATGCAGCGTCGACATGACATGACCCTATGTGTGATAAAGTTACACCTTTAACTACACCTCTTGTTGTTGCTGTTGCTGTTGTTGTTGTTGTTGTTGTTTGGTCTCTCTCTCTGTCTCTGTCTCTCTGTCTCTGTCTGCTTTTCATTTTGAAAAGGTACAAAAGTCTTCTCTCTCTCTCTCTCTCTTATGTGTGTGTGTCTCTCTCTCTTTGTCTTTGTGATGGTGTTTTGGCGACCAAGGGTGTTGAATGGCAGTCGGTCGGTCAGTGGCGGGGCGGGCGAGGGGTGAATGATATTTGCAATGGAAAATTGTTAGTGTGTGTGCTGTGTGTGTGTGTGTGTGTGTGTGTGTGCTGTGTGTGTGCTGTGTCGACTTGGAACCCCCAGGGGTATGAAGTGCTGGGTGGTATTGTTTTTCAGGTCCGGGCTTGAGGCGGGGGGCGGGGCAAGGTGTGCGGTGGGGGTTCAACGTCTGTTGGGGACACGGTGCAGTCATTGCCCCTCGTCGCTTTAATGGACGTGGGCCAAGACCCTCTCATGGTCTTCTTCCCCTTGGCATGTGTACGCGTACGTGTGGCCCTTTGTGAACCTTGCTTGAGATGGAAGAGTCCGACCTCTCGGTTCACTGTCGTCCTGGAAAAACATAAGACTCATTCTTCCGGGCTTCTGCGTTTCTCTCCCTCTCTCTCTTGTGCCTTCTCTCTTGGCGTTGCGGGTGTCGTGCGTGTGTTCTCCGAGCAAGGCGCGCGGTGGTCCTGTGTTGCACCACAATTGGGTTCTCGTTGTTCAAACTCAAAGCTTTTCTTGTCATGTCTTCCTCCCGCGCGCGACGCCTCCTCATTTGTTGTGCCTTATGTGTGGCTCCCTCAGAAAGGAACGCCTTCAAAACTCAATGTACCAGCCATGGAGTCACGCGTGATCAAGGAGGGCAAGTTGCTCAAGCGTGGCGAGTACATTTCCACCTGGCGTGTGCGGTGCGTCTACTCTCGGGCCAGACCCATGCCAGCCAAATGTCTTTGTAGTCGAACCCTCGGCGACTGACTCTCTCCGCTCACCTCACCGCACCTTTGTTCATCTCACACATTCGCTTTCGTACTCGAGGGCAGCTGGTTCATCCTGCGAGATGACGGCACCTTCCGTGGCTATAAGAACCGTCCCATGACTCCCACGGATCCGCCGGTCAACCTCTTTGAGGTGTGTATCCTCCGCCAGGCCCCGTGGTGTGCCGCATACAGTGCAAGGGCACGACTCGGTCGTCTCGTCGCCACCAAGATGGCTAGCACCGGCAAGGAGTCTCACACGACAACGCACAACGTGCCCAACGCATAGATCAAGGATTGTACGCTGGGCGTAACAGACGACGACAAATCGGGCAAGTTTGGCTTTAGCATTCGCTTCGTGCAAATGACGCGCATCATTGAGCGCACCTTTTACACCGAAACACTGGAAGAGCGCGAAGGCTGGATCCAAGCCATCAACGATGTACGTATTTCAACCTTGGAATGCATGCACACCCAAACGTACCGGCTTGTCGCCTTTGTGCCGCCTTTTGACCCGAATCAACTTGGGCCGTAGGTCAAGGCTCGCGTCGACGAGAGTCAGCCCGCAGATATGCGGTCCGAATATCGTGCCATGTCCTTCATTGGTGGCCGCCCCGAGGCCATTGAGATGGACATGGACTCGTTCGAGCTTCTCAAGGTCCTGGGCAAGGGCACGTTTGGCAAGGTCATGCTCGCCCGTCTCAAGCTCAACCGCAAGGTATGCAATGGCCCGGCCTCGCGTGCGTGTGGCTCACCTTTTTGACCTGTCTACGGAGCTGCGTCTCCTTTTTTTTTGCTTGTTGACCCATGTTCGCTCGACCTGGCATTGATCCTATCATTTACAATCGCCATCTTCCTCGTGCGTGCTAACGCTTCTTCCATGCTTGTCACCAGATCTATGCCATGAAGGTGCTCAAGAAGAGCATGGTGCTGGAGAAGGATGAGCTGGCTCACACCCTTACGGAAAACAGCGTCCTGGCCAAGGCCTCCCATCCCTTCCTGACCTCGCTCCACTTTAGCTTTCAGACTCCCGAGCTCCTCTGCTTTGTGATGGAATACGTCAATGGAGGCGAGGTATGAAGGCCACCAGCACCACCCCGCAACCGCCGCTTCCTTGGCATCGCGCCCTCCCATCGGTGGCCCCTTGAGTGCCTTCACTTGTCTCTGCTACTGACTCGGCTTGGCCTGCTGTTCATTATCACCCCGCCATCATCACAGCTCTTTTATCACTTGCGCAAGGAGAAGCGCTTTTCCGAAGAGCGTGTCCGCTTTTATGCGTCGGAGATCACCAGCGCGCTCACGTACATGCACTCGGAAGGCATCGTCTATCGGTACGATTCATGATTTTGGGCACCCGCTTGCTTTCGGGTGGCCAGATGGTTACGCTATCCCGACTTGTCCGGTGAGATGATTTTCTTTCTTGAATCTTTCTCTTACATCCCCCCCCCCCACCCCTGCCCCCTCGTGTCTGCAGTGACTTGAAGCTGGAAAACGTCATGTTGTCGAGCGAAGGACACATCAAGATCACGGATTTTGGCCTTGCCAAGGAAGAGATTCACTATGGTGACAAGACCACAACCTTTGTGGGCACACCAGAATATCTGGCGCCCGAGGTCATTGGTGAGTTGTTGCTTGCTCTGCACCTGATCCGTCTCACGTGGCCTTTTGAGGGTGCCTCGTCCTGTGATGTGTCCTTGTCTTTGGCTCACGTGCTGACTTGGTTGGGTGCGTCAATCACACAGTGGATTCGGAGTACGGCCGTGCCGTCGATTGGTGGGGTCTTGGTGTCATTTCCTACGAAATGTTGGCCGGTGCGCTGCCGTTCAACAGCCGTGACTACGAAAAGCTCTTTAACCTCATTCTCACGCAAGAGGTATGATATTATATCGACTACATACATTCAAACTGCGCACATGTGGGAATTTCTCTGTTGGACCATTGCTTCCGTTCCGTGGGGTTGGAAGGCTGAGCTCACCAATGCTCAACGTGCCGGATCTTCTTGGTGCACTTTTAGGTGACCTTTCCCGCACATTTTAGTGCCGAGGCCGCCGACTGCATCAGCCGACTGTTGGACAAGGAGCCATCGACGCGACTGGGTGGTGCGGTCAACGATGGCAAGGACGTGATGGCCCATCCTTGGTTTCACTCGATTGATTGGGAAGCCTTGGAGGCGAAGACGATTGATCCGCCTTTTGTACCAAAGGTGCGCGGCGAGGATGACGTCGGCAACTTTGACTCTTATTTTACCTCGGAGAACCCCATCCTGACACCCGAGGATGGTGCGCCCATCAGCGATAACCAGCAGTCGGCCTTTGAGAATTTTGATACTGTCAAGAAGCTCTAAGACGCTCGTGCTTGCTCTGGCATATGCCGTTTGCCGCCCTGCGCTGTGTCGATGGACACGTGTGCCATCCATCATGTGATTCCCGTCCATGTTCATGTGCCTCAGCCCCTTTATTCTTCTCCCTTCCCTGACCTGGTGTACGAGTTGTGAGCCTTCTTCTTGTGCTCTCGCGCGGCTCTCTTTATTTTTTTCCCCCTCTCCTCTTTTTTCGGTCGGCTCCAGATCATTTTTGGTAGTCGTCAAGGGCGGTGAATACTTTTACGGCCGTGCGAATCGTCTATATCACTTGTCAGTGGTTGTGCTCGTCCTGGCGACGGCACTGCATCTTACTCGGCCCTATTGGGTGCTGGCCTGGGGCTTGTCAAGGCGCATGTGCGCGTGCGCATGTGAATGTTTGTGTGTCGGCGTCCGGGTCGTGTGCTCCTTTCCCCTATTTTTCTCCCTGCTTCTTCTTCCGGTTACGCCTCCCTTTTCCTGCAAATAGAGATGAAATTTCTTGCGACAGCTCTTCCCTGAAAGTAATTCGACCCAGTGTGAACTCTGATTGGCAACAGGTCACCCAGCCACCAGTGGCTCTCGTGGAGTCTGGCTCAATGTGGATGTCTCAGACAATCTTCAACAGAAAATTTTGGCCCAAGTCCATGCCAGCAGGAGACCTTGTTCTGTGCCATGTCGATGTAGAGACCGTCATGCTTGCACGCGTTGCCACCGGTGTGTGCTGGCGTTGCTGTAAAAGCTGAAATCACAAAGCAGTGGCAAGTCGCGCAGGCACCGAGATTGCCATGCCAGGGTCTGCATGACGAAGTCCCGAAGTACAACAGCGCTTAACTCTTTTCTGCACGGCCATGGGTGTGCAGGCAGTAGCGTCGAGTATGGTGAGGCCGTTGAAAGTCTGGCCAATTTCTGGCCACTGACGCTGCAGCGTCAAGTAACCCGGCTCCAACGTGGCACAAACGGTAGAATGTAAATTGGACAGGATGTGTTCTGTGCGCGCGAGCGCGGTCGCCAGTGATCATGACGCTGCACCCCCAATGCACGGGGGGTTAGACCCGCGGTCTTCCTGGACCTGCGCAGTGGGATGCCTGGCAGTGGGCCGCGCAGATGAATGATCATGGCTTTGAGATCTGCCTCTACCCAATGACTTGGGCGTCGATGGTCATACGCTTCGTGTTGGTGTCAGGGATGCCGCCCGCAGCGCCAGTGGAAGCCCCAAGGTAAAGGGATACCCACCCACGACGCATTGGATCAGCCATCTGAATAAGGAGAAGCTCTGTGGGTCGTTGTGTGTGGCGCTGGCTGCGGTGATCAGGACATGCCTAGCATCTGTAAACGCAGAATTCATCTTCAAGAAAACTTTCTGCATGTCCCAAAAGCGTGATGGTCACAAAAAATGAAATCCTTGGCGCGATTAACCTTGACGCTCCCTCGCTTGGCTGCCTGATGCCCGCATGCACCTGCGCGACATGCATTGCAAGGTAGCATGGCTTGCGCCTGTGCTCTCGGGTGGCCGGAAGGAGGAGCGGCTGCGCAGGAAAACGCGATTAAAAAAAAAAGGTGTCCTCTTTGTGGACGCTCTCGGCGTTTCGTGCACCTTCTCCAAGCCCAAGCGGACACGGGACTGGTCTTCCTTCATCAGGGCGATCACCCATAGGACCAAGTCCATCCGAAACCGAAACCGAAACGAAGTCAAGGACACGCGTGTGCATGTCTTGTGGGCCATCTCGCTTGCTCGATCCGGCATGGATTTCATATGTCATCAAGGGCGGACAGGACTGAGAGCCATCACAATCGCACACACACACACACGCGCGCGCTCGCTCTCTCCAGGACCATCTTTGCTAGCTGGCGCGTCGTGGTTGCCATCAACTTCTCCGTCCACACTTCGTCCGCTCAGCCCGAGGCGACCGCCAGTTGCTTTGACCGCAAGGGGGTGGGCCATCCAGCTTGCGGTTGGCTCCTCCCTGTTCGTCCCAATCACTAGCCAGCGTTGATGGGCCGCCCGCGCGTGAGGGGCTCGCGACCCCTGACTTTTGGTACGTGTGCCGTAATCTCAAAGCCAGTGTTGCGTTGTGGTGCGGGTTTTCGTGCACGATTGAATTCTGAGAAAGAGGACGGGATGGGGTACACGTTCCTGTGATGTTGATGTTCAGGTTTGGGCTTGACGCGAGTGCAGCAAGGCAGTGAGGGCCCGCCCCTTTGTTGAGCACGTCGGTTAGTTTTCTTTATGCGGGCATCCTCCACGCGGTTGCAGCACTGCCAAGTCAGCTCGGTCTGATTCTGGGTCGCATTTTTTGCCAGCACAGCACTTGCGGGGTCTTTGCTTGGAGATTCGTGCCGCGAAAGCTTGTGACTGGGTTTACCCTCTTCTTGAGCTGTGCGCATGGGTAGGTTGCCATGATGCACCAGTGTTTGGCAGGTCTTGGTAGCAGCTTTCAGAGAGTGCATGTGTGGTTTGTGTGTGTCTGTGAATGTGTATTCCCAGGCTTCTTCTCCGACACTGTGCGAGCAAACACAGGGTCCTTCCCTCCCCCAACACAACACACACACACACACCAGATGAGTGTGAATGACTTCTATTTCAACTCGGCGGTGGGCCGACAACCTGCAACAACCTGCGCTTGCCCTGAAGTGATGCTGTGTACAAACTACGCTGTGACGTCTTGGTTTTGTGACTTTGTGAGGTGGTGTGTGTTTGGCGTTTGTGAGTTTTGGGTGTCCATCGCACAGCCTTTTGCCAACAAGACCACCTCGCCTCTCCCCTCCCCCAACCAACAACCCTTGGGTATGCGGGAGTGCGTGCCGGCTGTGCGCAGGCAACGCCTTGACACGACTTGATACAGTCATATTATGGTCATACCACACCACCGCTCTCCTGACTTTAACCCCCTTCATGCATGCATGCTTGCACACGTGTATGAACGCAAGTACGACTTGTGCGTGTGCCTGGTCTGGTCATCCTCTGGGCTGTTGGAGTCGTCCCTGGTGTCGGTTTCGTGACGGTGGTGCCAGATGGGTGCCAAATTGCGGACAGCGATTGGTCACGCTCTTGATACCGCTGTGTTCCTTTCCACGGGCCCTTTTTCCTCATCCCTCTTGGGGGTTGGATCAAAGCTCTTCTTGTGTGTGTGTGTGTGTGTGTGCATGTCGCCTTCCTCCAGCAGCTGGTGTCACCACCTCTTCTCTGCGGCTTGCCTGCTGGTGCCTCTCGTTCATGTCTTTTCCATTCCCGTGCAACTCGTGTACACATCCACACACGTTTTTCCTTGCTGAGGGAAGCGGGGAGGAGTGGTTGGTGTACATTGGGGTTGGTGTACATTGGGGTCGTTGTCTGGTCGTGCTTGCCTGCGGGCATTGGTTTGCCCTTGCCTTGTCGCCGCATCCTTGCGCCCCTCCCCCGCCAAGTCTGGGCTTCTGGCGGGAGGGGGGTTGGCCCATGTGCTTGCGTATCGTTGTGTTTCTGTGTGTACCCGTGGGCCTGTGGCGAGAGCAACCTGCCTCCCACCCTCTTTGACCGCTGTCTCGCCATTCGAGCTGCGCCTTTACATCTCCTTGTTCGATTGCTCTTCACCCGCGGGTTGCCAATTGGCCCTTGCTTTCCACAATTACCCTCACTTCAACCCTGGTCTGCACCCATGCCCTGCCGTTTGCCTGCTTATTATTCCGCCTTTCGCATCTAGTTGGTCATCTTTCCTCCTTCCGCTATCCACTTTTTCTTTGCCACCTTTTGCATCTTGCCCCCTTCAATTAGCTCAAAGTAAGCGTGTCGTGCATGCTACAGCTCGCGTCGATTCTGTCGACCATGTGCGTGACCACTTTGGTTCTGTTTTCTCGGTGGCTGGCGTGATCCTGGGAATTCAGCTGATGAGTGAAGCTGGTCTTGACCTGGCCGTCTGTGTCATTTTTTTTTTTTTTTTACACTCGCTCTGTGTGTGCCT